AATCCAGCCTCTTGGCAAATAAGAATGAACTTTTTAATAAGCCTGCAGGAAGAAGGCTAGGCTGCAAAAGTGTGGCTGGTAGAGGGACAGATCTCCTAGACTCGGAGATGGACAAAACTTTTAGATGGGGATTTTGTCGTTGATTTTGCCTTTGCATGGCAGCCAATAGGTCTATTAGGATCTACTACCAGTTTCCAAAATTTGCAAGCTTTTGAGTTATGCAGAAGTATTCATCAAGCTAGATAGCAAAATAAATAAATAAATTAAAAAAATTAGGAAGGGACTTGGGGAAATGCATTAAAGGTTTTTTTCTCTCTTTCCACCATTTATTAACTTTTTTTACTGTGCGTTCCAGGGAAGACTTTCAGATAACTCAAAATACTTTATGAATTGATCGTTGATTCTAATATATTATCCACCTATGGATTTTTTGTTTTGCTTTATTCGTATGTAGCAACACAACCTCATTCTTTTCATTTATAATTGCCTTTGCTGTAGCTCAAGAACAATTGTACATTTTCTTCCATGATGTTTAAAAGGGGGTGGAGGGTGGAACTAGGGTAGATTTTTATATGTAAAAGCTGAGACTGAGAGTTCATGGTTTCTACTGAAAATAAATTCCTAGGCTTACCATACGATTTGGGGTAAACGTCACCTTTTTGCAATTATATATGTGCCCACTGAGCCACTACACAGATGGCCGATAGGTTTCTAGGATCTAGTAAAGTGCATATCACAAGCTCTAACTTGCCCACCCATGTCCTAGAATGTTTCAGTTCTGGCATATATAGATTTAAAAAATTCTGATTTCCAGTCTTGATTTAACCAGGAAGGAAGGAAGGAAGAGGGGGAGAGGATACAGTGGAAGCTTTACTGTTCTTCAGAACTCATTATTAAGGCATCTAAATGAGACTGGGAATCATACACCTGATTTTGCTTTCACATCTTGCTTGATGAGCAATTATGCAGAAATCAAAAGCTTGTGTAGTACAGTATTTTGTGATCTTTAATGTGGGCTGGTAAAACCTGTTGTCACTGGGTGGATATCTCAGTGAGTTGACGTACCTACCATGTTTCCCAAAAATAAGACAGGGTCTTATATTAATTTTTGCTCTAAAGAAAACATTAGGGTTTATTTTCAGGGGATGTTTTATTTTTTCATGCACAACAATCTACATTTATTCAAATACTGTCATGTCATCTTCTGGTTGCTGCACAAGGGTAGAGGTTAGGGTTTCACTTAATTGGGGCTTATTTTGGGGGTAGGGCTTATATTACAAGCATCCTGAAAAATCATACTAGGGCTTATTTTCAGGTTAGGTCTTATTTTAGGAGAAACAGGGTAGCTGCAGAGTGATGCGTCAGGACTTTGATTCCTTATTGTGCCTTCTGGAAAAAGAAACAGTCTATGTAGCCTTGAGCAAGCTGCACAGTCCTAGAGTACCATCAGAAGAGCATTTATTTATTGAATTTATATCCCGCACCATCTGGCAACCAGGCCACTCTAGATGCCTAACAACAGTATTAGGAACAATATTTTTAAAAATGATAAAAAATAAATTAATGCATAACAAATAGGGAGATTAAAGCAGATGGCAATAAAGGTGGCGAAAAGGGTGAGGGAGAGAATGGCAAAAAGGATGGTAAAAAGGGAGGGCAAGACCTTAGTGCTCCGGGAAAGCCTGGCGGAAGAACCAGGTCTTCAATGCTCTTGAAAAGCACATTGAAAAAACCATTTCTCAGTACACAGGAAACCATGCAAAGGGCCACCATGAACCATGACTTGATGGTACATAATTAATTAATCTGCAAAAGGTGTCCCTTTACTATAAATTTAGATGTTTTATTTTCTTTTGATATGAAAGCTAACATTTCTCTTTCAGTGGTTTCCTGAGGTCCTTTAGAACAGTGGTCCCCAACCTTGGGCCTCCAGATGTTATTGGACTTCAACACCCAGAAATCCTGGCCAGCAGAGGTGGTGGTGAAGGCTTCTGGGAGTTGTAGTCCAATAACATCTGGAGGCCCAATGTTGGGGACCACTGCTTTAGAAGACCCAGGAGCTGTAACCTTGAATATTAAAGCTGTTCTCCCCGATTTCTGTATGTTCCTTTAACTCATCACCGTAAAGGTGGAGGGTAATAAGCACACAAACTGGGTGTGTAATCTTATCTGCAATTTCCTGTGAGGCAGATAGTGTACTCGGCAGGCTGGGGTTGGTGGACAACTGAGCAGGAGTGGCTATTTCTCAAGGAAATTGATCACACAAAGTACTATTTCCTTAACTCTCCTGGAAAGAGAAAATAAATAATTTTGTTCTATCCAATTAGTTTTGCTTTATGGTGACCTTTCTAGGGTTTTCTAGGTAAAGAATACTTAGATGTAGTTTACCATTTCCTTCTTTTGGGGGTGCCCTGATACTGTGCACTTGCCCAAGACCACATAGGCTGGCTCTTCTCCCTCCGGAGACACTGTAGTGAATTGAACTCCCAAACAGATATCTAACTCACTGGTTCTTAACCTTGGGTTACTCAGGAGTTTTGGACTGCAACTCCCAGAAGCCTTCATCACCATCTGTCCTGACTGGGGTTTCTGGGAGTTGCAGTTCAAAAGCATCCGAGTAACAAAGGTTAAGAACCACTCATCTAACTCACTGAGCTATCCAGCCAGCTCATGGAGAGATAACCCCAGAGGAAAAACCTTTTAAAGCCATTTTTCTTTTTCTGTGCATTTTAGGAATTGTGACCAGGAAAACTGAAGTTTTTTTCCAACAGAGACCCATTAGGAGATGTGAAAGGCAGTCTTCTCTCAAACTAGTTATTCCTTCCTGCAGAGATTATTGCTCCCCAAAAGCAACCTCATCCCATGATTAAACTGGAACTGCTCAAGCAGAGGATACCAGACAACAATGGATATCTTCCATTCTAAAACCAGCTTGTATTTGATAGCTGCAAACTGAGCCGCTAAAAAGACAGGACAATTCCACCTGGTGCTTAAAGTTTGAAGGCTGATTGGTGAAAAAGAGCAGGCAATCTTAAACTACAGGTTGGATGAAAAAAGAAAACATTTGAAAATGTCGGTTGGATCTATCACAGGGAATGCTTCACAGATGATGAGAGACTGAGAACTGAAGAATTATCTGCTTGCTGATTACCTAGAAATTCTGAAGATAACTTATTCTGAAGATAACCTATCGAAGAATGGATTTTTAGTTCCTGTCTTTCATTGGTCCAGCTGACAGCATCTGGTGGGCTGTTGTCAGCTGAGAATTAGAGGAATATTCAGTACTTTGGAGTCACCCACTTTCTGTCTAACTTCAGTTTACTCTCTGTGTCACCTTCTACAGTATTTACTTTCGTGGTGTGGTTACCACTGTTAATTTACTGAAGGAGATGAGAAATAAATAAATCCAGGGACACTCCCGAGTTGTTTCTTCACTGGAAGTTACACTGGCCTAGAAAAGACTAAAAGCTAGTAAATTTTTACTGTTCCACAAAATATGTGGGTCAGAAGAGAACTTTTTGATTCCCTTTTTTGTTGTTTCTACTTATGACCACCAACCATTTATTGGGGAAATGCCTCTGAGTGAATTGCTAGGAAAATCATTTTGACTTTGTGCATGCATATATTCCTATGTATACATCATCAGAAACTGGAAAAAGAGGGCTGGCAAAAGAGTCAGAGAAGAGATTGTCATCCTCATGGTGTCTTTTGATTCATCATCTGGCAAAACAAGATAACACCAGCTTGATCCTTCCACCATTTCATAGACTCAAGATGAGAAAAGGGGAGATTTGGTACCATTTTCTACTCTTTTAGGATCCGCAGCCATTCCTAAGTACATTTTGTTATTCTCCTTGGTCCAGTTTTCTCTTCCCACCAAAGTGTCAAAACAAACAAACAAACAAACCACAACTCTCACACACAAAACTGCTGGTCTCCATTCTTCCTGTTTCCTTTAGCCATTGAGCTTCTACTCAAAAGAGAATCCTGTTCTTCCCATTGTTAAACCAACTTTCACAATTTCATCTTCTCACTTGACGCATCTCACCTTGGTGCAAAAGATGTTAAAATCCAAGTAGAAATTTTTCTGACCTGCTTCCACCAGCTTTGAGTGGCTCCATTATTTTGCATCTGTGGGGAAGAAATCACAAATAAAGAGAAGTGACTTGTAAGCAAATGTTTGAAAGGAGCAACAACAAATTCAAGGAACAGATATTTAATATGAGGTCTAAAGGATGTTGATGTGACAGGCAAGAAGCCCCCCTGTTCTAGCACTGGAGCAGCTAAGAACAACTTTTATTTTTATGGAGTGTTTATCTTGGTCTTTTAAAGGGACACCTATTTCTACCACCACATTTTCAGAGAGACTGTTTACCAGAAGTAGCTGAGATATAGCTAACACAGCTGGATACCTTTGGATGTTGACTTTGCATGCAGGATTAACGGGGAGTGGATTTAGGATCCAATTACACTAAGGAATATGGGATGACCTAATCATAACACAGAAATCTAGATTCTACAGGAATTAGATATGTTTTGGCACAGATCGAGGAAATGGTGCTAATAGCATGATGGTTCTAGAACTCCTGGCTTAGAAGATAGCCTATAAGGAGCTAAAAGTGTTGTATATTGAGAGGTACCTCCAAAATGAAGCTATTCAGACGAAGGGAGACGGCTGAGTTCCAAGTTTTATTCCTAGGCTCTGCATTAGAGTGAGCCCTACAGTGTATCCCAGTCTGCCATAAGGATTTTTAAAGAAGATCCCAGGTGGCTAGGCAGAGAGTTTAAGGCTAAGCTGTAGCGATCCTGTTGGGTACCACAGCTGAACTTATTTTAACTGCAGCAATTAGGAAATGTCTATGCTGATCTCCATGCATTGAAGAGCTTCACAGTGTGAAAGTTTGCACATCAAAAACCTTTGTATTAAAGAGACTGGAGGAGCTGGCCATCCTGTTTACTTCTCCAAACTAACACTTTTCCCTTTCTTTTTCTGGCCACCCCCCATATATTGGAAGAAAAGTGAAGGGCAAGGAAATAAATAAATATAGGGTGGTTTATGCTAATCAAAACAACACCAGTTGCCCACCCGATTTCCTCTCTTTGGAATTCGGAAGGTCTATGTGACAATACATTAAAGAAAGTTTTTAGTCTGGAGATGTACAGGGAACAGCTCCCTCTCAGCCTCCGTTTGCTAGGACAGGCTGGGGAAAAAGTGGGCTGCGGGAAGCCTGCTTTGATTATAGGGTCATTCTTGTAGGCAATGTTATAGGCTTTTCATGCCTCTTCCCCCAAAGTCATGGCTCGTTCCCAAGTCCGTTGCTTGGAGAGTGAAGAGCCATATGTTAAAGTAACCGAATCGAACCCTGAATTTTACTACTCCGAGGGCCAGCGACTGGCCCTTGAAGCCCTGCTTACTCAGGGCGACGAGGCCTTTAAGGAGCGTCTGTCCCAGGAAAAGTTGCGCCCTTTTCTGTCAGATGCAGAGCTGCAGGAGTTAAAGACTGCCGCCGACGCAGAAGGCTCACAGAACTCCCTTGCAGGAGGAGTGGGGAAACACAGTCTTCGGAATGAAGGATCAAGTCTCAGCTACTGGCCTGGGCGATCGGATGAGCCCACTCCAGACCTGGAACTCGGGTGGCCGGACAGTGGGGCTTGGAAAGGGATCACCCGAGCCGAAGTCTATCTCCATCCACCAGGAGAGGGCGCACCACACATCAAGGAGCTGGTCCGCAGATGTATCCAACAAGCCGATAAGGTATTGAAAAGGTGACATGGGCTAGGCATGCTTCTAGCCCTCTTGGAGGACTTGGAGGGAAAGTGTGAAAATAATGTGGGCAATTCTGCTCAACCTGTTGCCTTTCAAATGTTCTAGAATAGTGGTTCTTAACATGGATGATATCGCCCCCCCAGCGGGCGATTTCTTTTTTTAGGGGGGCGAATGAATGAAAAGGGGCGACGTGGGGGCAAAGGAACAGAAGGGGCGATAGGGGGCGATGGAGCCACTGCACTGCCGGATCCAGAGCAGCTGATGCTGGCAGCGGATGTGGTGCCACCACTGTTGCCACCATTGAGGAAGTTATCATCGCCCCCCTCCCTGTGGCAGCTGTGCCAGAGAGGGGGCGATGGAGCCACCGCGCCACCGGATCCAGAGCAGCTGATGCTGGCAGCGGATGTGGTGCCACCACTGTTGCCACCATTGAGGAAGTTATCATCGCCCCCCTCCCTGTGGCAGCTGTGCCACGCTGCCACCGCACCACTGGATCCAGAGCAACTGGTGCTGGCAGCAGACGTGCCACCGCCATGGTGAGGGGGGCAATGATAACTTCGTTAATGGCTCAAGGGGGCGTTTCTTTTTTTAAAAGGTTAAGAACCACTATTCTAGAATACAGCATTCAATACCCCCAAACCAGCAGAGTCATCTGGCTGGAGAGGATGGGCATTTTTGTCCTATGAAAGGAGAGGATCACAGTGGTGAATGCTGCTTTAGAAGAGGCATTCCACCTGGGTGACACAGTCCTAAGAAGCCTCTTTTTCCCAATGCCCTACCTCCCCTGTTATGAGAGGTTTGTTTCTAACAGCAGAGAGGATTCGAAATAGCTGTAGAAAAGGCCAGAAGTATGAAAAGAGAGTTGCACAAACTTAATTGCTTTCTAACATGCTTCAAGGGAAATATAATGCTTCTTGACAATTCCCCTTGGGACCACTTTGCTTCTGCAGTTTGTTGAAACAGGCCTAGAAGAGCTGAAGAAGAAAAATTTCATCAAGAAGCATAAGTTTTCCCTTGATAAAGAGTTCATCCAAAACATCTCAGGAACCTGTTCTATTAGCTCAGTTGTCGCTTGTTTGTTTTTGAGTTTTCTTTGTAAAGTTGAGAGAATTCTTATCCAGATCAACATTTAAAGCAATATCAATAGTATCTAATGCTTCAAATCCAAATTTCAAACTGCTCTGCTTATATGCGTATCTACATTTCAGTGATGCTGAGGGATTTATTTCAGCCAGCATTCAGAAGCAATACAACTTTATCACCACCTCCCAGATTAATGTGAAGATCAAACCTGGTGATCCTTCAGATTTAACACTCCTCTAAATTTAGCAGGTCTATTCTCAACTCAAAAAAGAACCATAAAAAAGAATATTTAAATGGGTGTATGTATAAAAAGTTACATGTAAAGGTACGTGCTTTGAAAGAAAGACACTAAGAAATGTGTGTGTGTTCAGAAAAAATTACAGAAATATTTATTTCAAGAAAAGTTTCTTGCAGATTAAAAAAAGTTTATAATGGGGAAAGGGACAAAGCATACTTACAAACACATGAATATGAAATTGACATGAAATTGGAAGTAAATCTTTCCATTCTGACACAGACAGACAGATATACTGTACACACCCTACCACCAGTTTTCACCAACCAATTTAGTCACTTAATTAAGGAAATCTCATTCAGAAATTTGATATTTTAATTAAATCTACACAAATGTGCATCAGATCAAGATTTAGAATGGAAAAATAGTTTTCATGTTTGATTTTAGATGGTGTAGACATATGTCACACCAGATGCCATCTTAAGAAGAGGCATGCCTCCAGTAAGGAAGCTGAAGGAGGAATGCCTCTTCTTAGCTGAGCTTTATCATCTGCAATTGCAAAAACTCTCCACAGCGAAAAAGTAACATGCAGTTGTGCAAATCCATCTCAGCCTGTCTTATGCTGGAAAGCAGATATACAAAGATGTGGCTTGGAACCAAACACCAAATAACAGGAATTTTCTTTTTCTCACCCAACATGAAGGATGTAAATCAAGTACTGTAACAGAGGTGTGTACATTTGATTTGCCTAATTCCCCAAGCTTTGCTGTGGATGTGGCTGTTTGATTTTTTAAAGCAAGAGGCTAAGTCTTCTACTTAGATACTTGTGCCACAAACCAAACTACTTATTCTCCCCTCCAGGTGATTGCTATAGTCATGGATGTTTTCACCGACCCTGATATCCTCTTAGACCTATTTGATGCAGCTGTTAGGCGGCGAGTTCCTGTCTACGTTGTCCTCAGCAAACAGCATCTTGCCTCCTTCCTCACCATGGCAGAGAAAACATGCCTTAATGTCCGTCACTCAGAGGTGAGTGGGGGGAGATTTACACACCATGTCAATGGTATCAGCTGATGTGTGTATTGATTGATTGATTGATTGATTGATTGATTGATTTATTGATTGATTGATTGATTGATTGATTGATTGATTGATTGATTGATTGAATATCCCACCCATTTAGACTCAAGTCTACTCTGGGCGGCTAACAATAAAAAAATGGCATAAAAGCCATATAATAAAATATAGATGCTGCCAGCACTGGCTGAATAATCTCTGAGTATTCATTTTCTACTATTGTGGAGCAAATTGCTAGGATGGCATAGTGGTTAGAGTGTTGGATTGGGATTCAAGGTGCCCAGATTCAAGTCTTCACCAAGCCATGCACTTCACTGAGTGACTTTGGGCCAGTCTCTCTCTCTCTCCCCCTTCCCATGCTTTCCTCACAGGCTTCTTGTACACATATGGTGAGGAGGAAGAGAGCTGTTTACACCACTTGCAGTAATTGCAGGAACTGTAATATAGTAGGGACATAATATGGTACAGAACTGCAGGGATTATAATATAGTTGGGTGGGGACTAATTGAGATACCTAACTCCCTGAGTTAACTTTTGGCTGGATAGCTCAGTGGCTTAGATATGTGGTTGTGGAGCCAGAGGTTGAGAATTCAATTTCCCACTATGCTTCCCAGAAGAGCCAGCCTGCACGGCCTTGGGAAAGCTGCACAGTCCCAGAGCATCCTCAGAAGAAGGGAATGATAAATGACTTATGAGTACTCTCTATCTGGAAAACCAAAAGGGTTGCTATAAGTCATAACCTAATGGCACACTATTATTATTATTAGGGTGGAGGAAAGGCAACCAAGATGTCCTCACTTTCTAGCCACCATGGTCAATTCTTTACCCCAAGTATACTTTTCATTGTAGCATTTACACAGAGAGGGACTTTCTACTGTACTTTGTTCTTTTGGGACGTTGTCCCCCTGCATAGCATTGAACAATGCCCCCACATTTCAGTCACTTACTATTTGCAGTTTTCTATGCTTGGGAGAGGGGCATGGTTTTGGACACTGGGATGGTTTTCCACCATACCTATTGGAGTTTTTGAGTGTTATGTGCCATCAAGTCAGAATTGACTTATAACGGTGAGGTGTTCAAGGAGTCTGTCACTCTATCCACTATACGACACTCAAACTAAGACTCTGGAGAACAGGGTTTTAATCCCTGTCAACCATGGAAACTCTTTGGGGGTTGTAGAACTGGTAAAATTATTCCTTATATATCTCACTTACCTTGAAAATCCTATTAGGGTCGCTATAAGTTGGTTCTGACTTGACAGCTCAGAACATACACAATAGGAACTTTAGGCTAAAAAGTCTTGATGGCTTTTGAGACAAAAACTGATCCAATAGAAGCCAATATTTCATTAGAGGTGTGAAACTCTTCACTAGCAAAGTTACACTGGCTTAGACCATTGTACAAATGGTTGGGCAATACTAGTGATAAGGTGATGGTGATAAAATACTGGCTTCAGTACTTATTTTGCCATTTGTTTCTGTTTATTTTAGCATCCTGAGATAGACTGGAATACAAATATGTGTGTATAGTGTGTATGTGTTCATGTGTACTGCTAAGGGTTTTAAATAATGAACTGTTAAAACAAATCTTTTATTTAAATAAGCAGGAGTACGCAAACTGTTCCTTTATACAGATGTAGCAAAGGGAAGTGTGAGGGCAAGAGGAGAAGGGGACGGCAGAGGACGAGATGGTTGGACAGTGTCATCGGAGCGACCAACATGAATTTGACCCAACTCCAGGAGGCAGTGGAAGACAGAAGGGCCTGACATGCTCTGGTCCATGTGGTCATGAAGAGTCTGACATGACTTAAGGACTAAACAACAACAAAGGAAAAATCACACCACTCTTCCTATTATAATCCTTCATCTTCCTTTGTAGAACCTGAGAGTCCGAATCATCCAAGGCTGTACATTCCAGACCAGACATCAAAAACAGGTCACCGGGACTGTGAAGGAGAAATTTATATTGGTTGATGGAGAAGTTGTGATCACCGGCAGCTACAGGTAATGGAACATAAAAGAAGTCCTGCTCAATCAGATCAAAGGCTGATTTGGTCTAATATTCTGTTTCCACAATGGTCAATGATAAGGCCAGCCCTATTATTAAGGGAGAGAGGACAAAGACCCCCAGGCAGCACATTCTGGGAGGCACCAGAACTTGAAAACTTTACTTTTACAACTACACCTCATAGAATCTGCCAGCCAGCATGGCCACCTGGGAGCTGTAATCCATAAAGCAGCAGTTCCTAGACTTGGGTAACCCAGGTAATATTGGACTTCAACTCCCCGAAATCCTGGCTGGTATAGCTAATGATGAAGGCTTCAGGGAGTTTTAGCCCAAGAACATCTCTGGGGACCACTGTCATAAAATAACTTTTCCTAGTGGGGTGGGGCAGCAGTGATAGCTGTCGGCTGTACCTCCTGAGACCTCTGGCCATTTTTTAGCCCTAATTTCTGGAGCTATGGGACACAAGCTTGCTTCATCTTTCACATGACAGCCCTTCAGATATCTGAAGATGGCTGTCATATCGCGTCTCAGTCTTCTTTTCTCCAAGCTAATCATGCCCAGCTCCCTTGATCATTCTTAAACTGTGCTGCCCAGAATCAGATACAACTTTAGAACTGCAGACCTGGGAGGGACTCTATGGATCATTGAATTCAGCCCTGTAAAGGAGACACAGTATCTTTCACATGACAGCCCTTCAGATATCTGAAGATGGCTGTCATATCGCGTCTCAGTCTTCTTTTCTCCAAGCTAATCATGCCCAGCTCCCTTGATCATTCTTAAACTGTGCTGCCCAGAATCAGATACAACTTTAGAACTGCAGACCTGGGAGGGACTCTATGGATCACTGAATTCAGCCCTGTAAAGGAGACACAGTGGGGAATCGAACTCCCAACTTCTGGCTCTGCAGCCAGAGACCCAAGACACTCAGCTATCCAGCAAATCATTCCAATATTCCAGGTAATGGAGTGACAGAATCAAACTTTAGAACTGCAGACCTGGGAGGGACTCTATGGATCATTGAATTCAGCCCTGTAAAGGAGACACAGTGGGGAATCGAACTCCCAACTTCTTGCTCTGCAGCCAGAGACCCAAGCCACTCAGCTATCCAGCAATTCATTCCAATATTCCAGGTAATGGAGTGAGCCACAGTATTCCTCATGTGATAAAAGGATGCTATTCCATTGTCAGTATCAAAGTACAGTAATGCTCAACTGCCAGGCCTCTTTGCTTTTATACGTGAAATTTTTGGGAGGGGAGCACACACTGTCTTTTAACTCCTCCTGCCTTTTAACTCAAGCAGCAAAATGTCTTGCCCTGTGCCCACCACCACCAAATGTCTAAGGGAAGCTTACAACAGGGCACTAGTATAATAGCATCCTCTAGCTTGTGTACACCGGAAAACTAGTGGACCAAAGCCTTGATCGCTCCGATATACCACAGGTATGGATGCAAGCAGGGCTTGTGCCAAAAAGTGGAAGAGTTGGGCATTTATTCTATTCTCAGAGTCCACAAAGAGGGGTTGCCTTCTGGGGCTGCCAGTTATTTGAGCTATGTGTTGGCGGAATAAAGCCTTACGCTGTTCTTCTACATTTAAACCTGTTTGAAATCAGCATGCGAAGCTTCTTAATTCAGGGAGATAAATATGATAATCAGTTACTAATCCTTGCATATTCAACTTGGCTGAAGTCAAAGCTAGAATCCCTCCTTGAAATTCTTCCCTTCAGCTTAGACTTGCGCTTATCCTCTTAAATTGAACTTGAATCTAATTCCTAAGACTGGCCTTGCCACACAGCAGCATGAAGCAACTGGCTTCATAGTCAGCATGACGGGAGTGGGCTACATAAACGCACAAACTAGTGACGGCATAGAATAGCAAGACCTTTTAAAGCAAGGGCAAAGGAGCTCTAGCCCATCACAGTTTGTTGGGCTCCGAATCTTCTCAGGTACAGTCCATATAATCAATGCTCAGGGATTATGGGAGTCATAATTGAATATCTGGAAGGCCCCATTTCTTCATGGCCGTCACTGGACAAAGGCAGGATTTGGACTCTGCTTCAGGCAGCAGACTTTCTTCATTCCTCTGCTAACTGTAATTTAAACATGTGTAAGCACTATTGATTCCACCCCTCCTATCCTAGTTTCTTCCTACTCTGTGTTTTAGATTGTAGACACATTGGGGGCAGGGATCTAATTTTGTAAGGCATCATGCACGTGCAGTTGGATAGTACGTATATAATAAATCCAAGCATCGGAAGCTGAACATCAGCCACTTCAGTTTCACCATGCCAACAGCAGCTCCCTTCTTGCTTTGCACGGGCCATCCAAAACAGGGCAGAAATTTTACACGGGAGACGGATTCCATTTGCTCATCTTCTATATGAAGGGAACCCACTGGGGTTTGCCAAAATGTGCCTCCACATCCTGGAACAGGCACGGCATATTTCTTCCCTCTGTTTTTCCTCCCAAAGTTATTCTGTCTTCTTCTGTTTCCAGGCTACACAGTTACTCAGCTCCCAAATTTGCCCTCCCTCCCTGTCAGTGATTACTGACAGTTAAGACTGCCAGGTTTAGCGAAAGACTAGTCACCACCTTTTGTAGTCGCAGTGTGTCTGTGCCTTGAACAAGCTGCATGACAGGCAGCGATACTGCGCAGGGCAGGGAGATAGTGACTGTGTTCCATTTCTGCTTGTCATACGCTTGCTAGATGTGTAAAAGAACTGCTATGTGTAACAAAGAACAGAATCTTCATCCCTGAGACTGGATTTTTTTTTGTCTTTGAATCATGCTGTTTCTCATAATGGGGAGTAATATGAGTCTTGGGATAATAAAATGCCTGCTGCAGATCTAGTCTCCTTCTCCCAATTAGTTTATCCTATGATTTTATTGTTTGTTTCAGAGCAACTGTCGTTTTCATTTCATGCAGCTTTTCAGGCTTAATTTTAGCTTGCTAGCAGGGGAAATCTGTGAAGTTTTGGATAGGGATGCTGCTGAGATTAAACGGGATTTCGGCAGTGGAAGGGTTTGGCATTTTGACTTGACAGAATTCCTTGCTCATTGATCCAGGACTTACAGGCTTTAATTACTAATTTATGGAAGTGGCAACAACACTGGGGTTACCCAGTGTGGTTTAATGGATAGAGTGGCAAACTGGGGTTCAGGTGACATCTGTTCTAATTTTCACTCAGCTGTGGAAACTTACTGAGGGTTTGAATTGGCTCTGGCTTGTTCCCTGGTTTCCTTCACATGTTACTCTGCTTCAAGCCACAGAAACCATTAACTGATCCTAAGAAGCTAGACTATATACTTCTTTCCAGTTGCTAATAATTCTTTTTAGTACTAATCTATATGTGGAAATTGTAGTGGGCTGGATCAGGCTAAATAAGGTCACTAGACGTCAGGTCAAGATCTGGAATAGCATGCAGTGTGATCCTGTGAAAATTCATTCCTCCATTGTGTATTCGGCTCTGGGCAGGTTCTCAACTGGAATTTAAGAAAAGAGAAAGAAAGGGGGGGAGGGAAATGCCTCTCACTGTCCCTCCTGTTTCCTCTCACTTCAGGAGGAAGTTTTATATTTTTAATTTTTTTCATAAGTGATGCAGCACATCGATGCTGCCTTAACAGAGTCAAAAATTTGTTTTCACTTCTGCACTTCCATGGAGGCACAAAGGGACACCTTTTTTTGCATTTGTTGGAAACAAACCAAAATGAAGTGATCCTACCCATGCCAAAAACATAGAAGCCCCTGACAGGGAGCAAAAAAAGTAAAGGTAGCAATGCTCTAGGGACAGTTTGGTTCACTCCAGCAATTATGTTCTATGATTGCCAGAAAAAGGAGTGAACCAACTTGTCCACACAGCACAGTAAATGCCTGTCTGACAGCATCCATTTCATACTTGAAGTTGTTATATAAGGCAATAATACCATACTATTGTTCTAAATTCTTCCTTCTGTGACATCACAAAAATGATGTTGCCCTCTAACTTCAAGAGGTTCATATCGGAAGCCCTCAATAGAATCTGCCAATGAGCCTTTGACTTCCATTGTGATGTCACTGCTTAAACAGTCACCAAATTCTTCTAGGTCATTGCAAGAGACTCATTCTATTACTTCAGCGTGATAGAGTTGCATAGCAGGAGACTGCTTATATGTATCACATGTATAGGAGGCAAAGAAACCCAGGAACAAAAGCTGGATCCTGTTTTGGAATTCTGAGGACCAAATCAATCAGCTTTTGCATTAGTGCAGCAGAAAAAAAAAACCCAGTCTGTCTCTACGTTCTGATTACATCCTGGTAGGTCATTTGCAAGATTTGTTCTGATGCTCCTGGGCATTCTGTATTTCCACAGCTGGACATACATTTCTAAACCTCTTCATTTGTGAGCAGAAGAAATGAAAATCTAATTTTTTATTTTTCTATTTTTTTGTAATTTGCCTCTGAAAACGTGGCCCTTTGGGAGGCACAGATCACGCTGACATGCCGGCTTGCTTCTAGAGACGAGTATCCTCTGAGGTTTCTCTGTCTTGGAGAGAAAAAAATGGACTAGCAAATGGCAGGAACCTTGTTTTGTATTATTAGAGAAGATTGAATGCTGTTACTGGAAAACCCATGTGTTACAGGGAACACAAGTTCCTCCAATTAAGAACTCTGTTTGAAGCCCCAGATCCAAAGTGTTGAAAAACTGATGGTCTGAAGATTAGAACATCCAGATGTTTTTCCCTGTGGCACCAGGACTCCAAGGCTATTGATTTTAGTTGCGACCTGGACTTGGAAAAACAAGACTGATCTAATTCTGAACTCTCTGAATCCACAAACTTCCAGGCAAAACTTTTAGAGAATTGGAGAAGATACAATCACCCAAAATTTAAAATAAAGAAATAAAATTGGCTAGCTGAGAGGTCACCAAACTCAACATTTCCATTTTGCTCCTCTGTGACCTTAAAAAGGAGCAACAACGATCACCACGGGTAACAGCCACATTTTCTACCACAAGATGATGGGCACCTGGAGTCTGGGCTTCATATGCCTTTTGACCTGCGTGCTACCCTCTGTCTTTTCCAAGGTGTGCTTTTTTTGCGAAATCACTGCCTCAACCAGGTGCCCTGCTACCCAGATGGTTTGTGGAGAATATGAAGACTGCTTTGTCGGGGAAGGAGCTGCCTTGGGGGTGTCGATGATCCAGAACAAAGGCTGCACCCGTGACGTCGACTGTGGCAAGGAGCAGTCTGTGTCCTACATGGGGGTCACCTACAGCTTGGTGACCAAGTGCTGCAAGGGAGACCTGTGCAATGCAGCTCTGCCCCTGACTGCCCCTTCCATCCTAACACAGCTAGGCATCATCATCGTCTTGCTGGGACTCATTTGATTTTTAAAAATGGCATCAACAATAAACTCTTTGGTTGTTTTTTTTTAAATTGAATTCTTGAACTTCTGGTACAGTGGCGTGTTCCACTCCAGAAGTGGCACTCAGTATAAATTCATATATACAGCGTGGCTTCCATATTCCAATTCAAATATAATAATAAGAATATTTTGATAGGTAAGCTTTCAGGATGCCCACCAAAAACAGGCCCCAGGAGTAGTCTAGTTCCCAGAACAATTCATCTAGAACATGTAGATCCGATGGTTGTGGCTCAGTTTTCTGAGTCCATTAAGACATCACAATTTGTTCCCTGTGTGTGGTGACTGCAGCAGATTGCTGGGTGGAACGATGCCACCTCTTCTGTCTCCCAAGTTCAGGCACAGTTTCTCCTTGTTGCTTTTGGATGGCAGTGAATCATAAGAGCCATCAAAAATCCTAAACACTCTGCTTTCCAGGGTTTGGCCTGAGCATTTCTCCCCTTTCCTACCAGCTGAGCATGAATGCTTATCGAGGTTCAAATGTTAGTTTGAATCTTTTCATACCGAGCCTGAAGTTGGCGAGGGGCTGATTAAGTGTTATATGTAGCTCACTAGGATAAGAAAAGCCTGCACTTCCATGGAAATATGGGTTTAGGAAGCTGGACAAAGCAGAACCTCAGGAAACAAATTGTCTGTAATGCTGATCTTGAGCAGATGGGAAGACAAGGGTGCCAAAGCTTTTATTAGCTTGAAGGATTAATTCAATTTTGCACAAGTGCTTGGGGCCCACATTCCAGTGGCAGGCACTGTACAGCCAAAGGCAAATGGCTAGGTCCAAAAATGCCAGTACACCAGGTTAAACCTTTTATTGCTAGTAAGTAAATCTCAGAAGAACCAGTGTGGTGTGGTGGATAGAGTGCTGGACTATGACTCAGGAGATAATACAAATCTTGAGAGAAGGTTAGTTCCCACTGTTTGAAAGAGGTGGAGGGAAACTCATATGCAAAAGTTGGAAAACCACTAACAATGGGGAAGGGAGGATGGCCATCCAATGAAGCCTAGAGGTGAGGATGGACCTCAGAGAGCTAGATTTGGCTTTAGGGCCTGAAGTTCCCCACCATTGAAACAAGGGAATATAACTACAGTACCTCTTTGTCTTTACAGCCTGGAATTATGCAGTCTGAATGGCAATAATTCTCCAGAGTGTAGGCAAGGATCCTTCCACAGTGAAATTGGGCTCTGGGTTATAGGTAATCTAATTTGGCAATTTAAAAAATGAAACATTTGAATACAGGGCTTTGCACTGAGGCAATTTTGAAGCACCTATATTAACCCAGGCTGAAAGAAGGAAGACTCTATTGATTATTCTTGAAGAAAACCAATAGAGTCTTGTGACATCTTAAAAGACGAAGAAATTTTATTTGGAAAAAGCTTTCAAGGGCTGTAGCCTACTTCATCAGATTAAAGCTATAGTCTCCAAAACCTTAGGCCAAATAAAACTGGTTCGTCTTTAAGGTGCCTTGAGGCACTTTTAAAAGAGGTAGCTGTGTTAGTCTGTGCTAGCATATCAGAAAAAAACAAAACTGAAATAAAAAATAAGACAAAAATGTTGTGGCACCTTAAAGATTAGCTGGTATATTTTAATTTACAGTAATTCAATTAATTTTTTTTTTTTGTGGACAAGTCCACTTCCTCAAGTACCTTGATTGTGTTTGTTGCAACACATTAACCTTGCTAATAAAAATACTGTAATCATGTGTGGTTAAGTCAATCCTGACTTATGGTGACCCCCTTCTAAGATTTTCTAGAAATGGTTTATCCCAGGGGTACTCAGAAATAGTTTATCCCAGTGGTATCCTGGGACTGTACAACTTGCTGAAGGCCATACAGGCTAGCTTTTCTCCCTGAGGGCACAGTGGAGAATCAAAATCTCAATCTCTGACTCCATAGGCCAGGGTGGGTAATTAATTTCTATGGGGGGGCATGTAAAAAATTTGAACTGTGTTTGGGGGCCAAACCAACTTTATTTAAAAATAAAATGAAACAATGATGTTATGATTGTTTTTATTTTAAACTTGTTAATCTGCACAAATACTAAAGAGTTTTTTTGCGGTATGTTAAAGATAAGCAACTGGTCAACTTTAGACAAAAAGCTACAAATGGTTTTGATGTTCAAAACTGTCTACGGGCCGGACAAGAGAGGCTCACGGGCTGTATGTGGCCCTCGGGCCGCACTTTGCCCAGGTCAGCCATAGGCAGATACCTAACTCACTGAGCTATTCAGCCAGCTTTATTTAATCTTGCTAGCCCCAGGAAATTCTGGAAGCAAAATGTCGCCAAGTAAAACTATTTCATGGAGCCACCATAATTGTTTAAGGCGTTAATGGCTTTCATCTTTTAAGGTCTCCAACACACATTTCAATTTCTTGTAAAAAAACATTTCTCTCCAGACATATTTGATCATTTATTGAACCACACTTTCTACTGAAAGGTGCAATCCAGGTGTGAAAAATCACCACCACAGCTTTTGCACAGCTTTTGCAGAAGGACAACAAGTAATTCCTAGTCATTTTGCTAACTTTTTTTAATCTTATGTGAGATAAACCATGTGTCAAGTTCCATACTATCATTTGCATACTGTCTCTTCAAAGTACAAGTTAGAAATCAGGCTGCCCCTGCCTTGTTCAAGAACTGAAACTGGCCCTACTATTTATTAGGCAAAATAAGGCAAGTCACCAGATGTGGAGCTGCACAGAACAGATAGTTGTGTGCATTACATAACCCGCTCTGTGCTCCCTAAAACTTCACTTGTACCCTCAAGCAGATGCTATCTTCTTTCCAGGACTGAAAGAAGATTTACCTACCCTGCTTGTCTATAGGGAGGGAATCAGCTGAAGGTGGCGTGAGAGCTGCTTCCTTGTCCTCTGTCTCAGGCAACATCATGTTTAGGGCCAGCTCCTATCAAAAGAAGGAGTAGTGGGAGAAACCCCCCCTCCCACTATCCTGTGTTTAAACCCCTGAATTGTATATAAATCTTGTTTAATAAGCCAGTTATGTTATAATCACCTCTGTGAAGAGCCTGAGTAGTGCTCAGAAAGCAGTACCTCAGTATGATGTCGTGGCAAAGTATGCAGTAGATTTAATTGCCAGTCTGATCAGCTTCTGTGCACGGGATCAGGCACTTGTAACTGTAGCCTAGCAGCCATTTCAGAAGGGGAAAGAGTCTGCTTCTAAAGCGGACAGTTAAGAGCAAAGATGTAGGCAGCGATTACATAGTACTGTATTATCTTCCTAGCAGGGAGAATTCCACTTGAAGTGAGATTTGGAATAGGAAAACAGGGAAAGGAAATATTAAGTTCCTCTTCTCCTCCCCTAGCACTTGTATGCTCTTGCTCACCTCCTCCAAATGCTGCTTATACAGTACCTTTCAAAATGGCTGCCAGGTTCTGAACTTGTGTGCCATGTAGTTTGCCTCTGAGAGAGAAGTGAATTTGAGATGTTACACTACATCATGGTTTCCTATAAGGAGGAATGAGAACCTACCTCATGGCTTTAGCCTCTAAATGGCCCTGCATCATTTTATAGCTACTCTTCTGCTTTTGTTTTTGGTTTGCTCAGCACTCCTGGTTCTGAATGCACATCACTGGCTGTAATTATGGTTTGTCACTTGCATATCAAGCCATGGTGTCTGATGCTTGTTTAGTAATTGATTGCAAACCATGGTTTATAGAGCTTAAGGGATGACTACACTGGCTGTTTACCCACAATTTGTGTCAGACTTGGCACAGATAAAATCGGTGGAAAAACTGGCAACTACATGACATAAAGCTAAGTGCAGGGAACATTGGTGTTTTTCCTTGGGAAATTGTCTTCTTTTTATTCAGCCAGCAGGTGCTCCATTTGGCTCCAAAACAGTTGGCATCACTTTTCTCCACTTTCTGGTGTGTGATCACCTAATTCAATGCAACAGAGTAGTTCTAGGAGTGTCAGTGGGCACACTATTACAGCTGCTCCCCTCAATTGAGGGGATGGATGTTCTCTCCCATCCTTCAAACAATTTTCCTTTCTCCCTCTTTCTTTCTTAAATTATTGTGCTTGCCAAAGGTAGCACTGTACTAGATAAGTGCTATATCACTGGGGAGGGGAGTAAATAAAAGAGTGCAAAAGGAAGGGGTCCCAGTGGAAATTAATGATCTCAACAAAGATGGCTCTTTTTCATAGCTTTCTGTGTCTGCCCCCGTGGATGCTTGCAACACAATAATTGGTTTGGACAGCTTAGCAATTTCACCTCCAGAAATCAATAGGGGACCTGGGTTGAAAAACTTCAAAAGCAAACTGGTCCCCCACATGTAGTTAATTCCTTAGAGATATTACTTTTTTTCAACTACAATCCCCAGACCCCACTACAGCTGGCTTCTGAGGGTTGCAGTAAAAAAAAAAGTAACTTTTGTGGCTTGTCAGAGAGCAACAACTAATTAAGAGAGGTAAATGGCACAGTGACTGGAAAAAAGCCCATTACAGCCCTCCCTGCCTGACAAAATAGTACCCATGTCAAAGTGAATTTCTCTCAATCTGTGAAATCAAGCTAAATATAGTGGGAGAGGGGGTTGAAAGAGATGGGTATGCTTAGCCTGGAGAACAAAAAATTAAGGTGTGGCACAACAGCTGAATTCAGATACTTTAAGCACTAGAAGATGGAGCAGGCTTGTCCTTTCTTGCTCCAGAAGGCAAGACTAGAATTATTGGAGGGAGTCAAGGGAAGCAGATTTTAACTAAACTTTAGGCGAAACATCCTAATAGTACAAGCTGTAGAAGAACTGAGCAGACAGTCTTGAGGCTGGTTGGCTGCTGTTAGAGGTCAATTAGCTGGCATACTGCACCACTGATGCTTCATGGTCACTTCAAACTCTGAAATTCTATGAATTGTACTAGCTGTTTCATTGCATTATGAGCAGGTTGCTGTCATTCACAGCAAATTCTCTCGAATCCAACCACTCAGGGCTAGTGCTTCAGAAAGAACAAGGGGTGTGTGTGGAATTTTTAATTGCTTCAGTACACAAATGAACATAAACTTGTCTTTTGAAGACACACAAGATATCTAAGAAGGGGTGAGAAGGGGATCACATTTATTTTAAAAAAGTGTAGAGTCCCAGTTGCATAGACAGGTTAACAATGGGGTGGATAAACAGTGACTTGGAATGGCTGGTTTGACCAATCCTTTCTAAGAATGGAAGGCAAGTCCTGACAGATCAGACAAAAGGTCTGTGAAACTTCATGTCCAGTTTCCCACAGTGGCAAATCAGACCCAGGATAACAACAAAGGCAAGAGCCCTCAGCAAATAGTATTGTGAAGCAAACTGCTACTGAACACGAGGGCTCTCTATTGAGCTATTGGGACTAATAATCACTGATCAAATTCTTTCCTCCATGTATTTGTCTAGAGTTTGAAGAAGTTATTATTATTTTTCTGACTCTAGCTTCTAGAATCTTCTAAACAATCTACTGTGGCTGTAGGATTCTGGGATTCAGAAACTTTTAGCAATTTACCTCAGTCTTAGATTCTAAAGTAAAAGCCATGACCACATCCTGTAACACCTAGTCCAATAAATTAATTGTGGGTTATATTGGTCTGTCCTGAATTTTCTAATGCTCAACAATTTCACAGAGAGTTCTGGTATTACCAAGGAAGGGAGAAAAAATTGCTATCCACTTTGTCCACAGAACACATAATTTTATTAATATCTCATCCTGCCTTGAGTCATCTTTCCCCCCAGATCTCTCTTCCTCTTTTCACATTGCTTGTTATAACATTCTATGGCAGTGGGTTTGGTACAGCAAAGCCAGCGTTGTGTAGCAGTGGCTAGATGATGACGTATATGATATGTCAGAAAAATTCCCCATGTAAAGCTCAAGGGTTTGCTTCTCAAATTAAACTACCTCATAAATATGTCATAAGGATACAGTGAGAAATTCCTTGAATGTGGCCTTTGGTTCCTTAAAGGTGGGATGGACCGCAAGTTCTGTAAACGAATGTTCCCCAACTGGCACCCATCCAGAGGTGTTCGGCTACAGCTCCCACAGCATGGCCCAGTGACTGTACTGATTTAGAGATTCTTGGGTCTATATTTAAAGTTACATTTCCATGCTTTGAACATTCTCTTCTCAATAGCTTCACATGGACTGATGCCCGCTTGAACCGCCAACTGGTCACTCGGCTCACTGGAGAGGTGACGGAAGCGTTTGACCGGGAATTCCGAACCTTATATGCTGCCTCCTATCCCTTACCACCCCTAGAGATGCCCTTAAGACCCCAGCTTCCTTCTACAAACCCACTCCCGAGCATCAATGGACCTGATGCAACCCCATATGTCAGTGTCTTGGAGGGAGTGCAGTTGTCCAACCGGATTGCTGACCGTCGTTCTGTGGCTCCTCAGCCTGTAGCCAAGAGCCGGGCTGGTGAGTGGGAACTTGTATTGGCTTCACCAGCTACGGCTGAAGATCCTATGCTCCCTGCCCCTCCTCCGGAGGTGTCAATCCGAAACCGGCTTACGGCATGGCGTGGTGTGAACCTTTCTAGAGGGGGCACACAGGGCTCCCCAGAAGGTGGGCACAGTGCTCTAAGTGACATCCTCAAGAATGTACAGCGGACTCGTCTCTCAGTGGCCAAAACTACTGGGGCTCGGGCTAGTAAGTCCCTGTGGGATCTCAGCCGCTTCAGTCAGATGTCTGGTTCCAGCGCAACAGGGTGGGGACGGAACGGGATAGATTCAGCTGAAGAAGCTAAGGTGAGAGCATCATCACCCAAATTATTTATTTATTTGGGGGCGGGCAATATGCAGCTCCCAGGGTCCAAAACGCAATCCCCAATTTTTAAAATGGTTTTGGCTCAAAAAAAGTTCTCTTTGCCCTCTTGGAGGGCAAGACATCAATTTTGCTATGTTTTTTGAGTCTACAAGTACCCTGCCCTCTAACCATTAATTTAAAAAAATACTTTTCTGAGCCACTAAGGAGAAGATGGTCAGTCCCCCACCATTTTTTGCAAGAAAAACGGGGTGGAATGCAAGAGCAGGCATGGCTGTCCAAAGTCCGGGGACGGGCACATGGACCTCTGGAGATCAGTCATCCCTGAGGGGTTGATTTGTCAGTTACTTATATATTCTACCTTTCTTCCAATGAACATACATGGCTCCCTTTCCCCCCACTTCATCCTCACAATACCCCTGCAAGGAAACTTCCAAAAAGATTGGAAGGGCCTAATTGTAATATGGGTTGGTTGAATTAGTTGTTACTCAGGGTTTATTTTGTTTGATTGTTTTTTGACTAATGATGGCCTGTGACAACTTCTTTTAATTTTCTTAATGTCAGTGGTGTCCTTTTTTCCTGTTTTCTGGAGTAACATTTGCTCATTACTAGGGTTGCCAGGTCAGCAGTATCCCTTTCCCTGAGATTTTGAGACAAGAGCCTGAGACTTCAGAGGCAGATTTTTTAAATAGCAATTGCAAAAGGGTTGTACTGTATAGCAGGCAGGCAATGTGGTGACCTTATGGGGAATTTAAAGGCCAATGTGAATTGAAACAGCTGTTTGCAGGATAATGGAAATGGCAAATATGCTTCCGAGCATGTTGAAATAGCATGTCCCAAAACCATGAGAATGTCCCCTAAATGAAATGTTGCCCAGTTGGCAGCATCACATTGCCTGCAATTTCAGGTCCAAAGTCTCAGACCTGGAGAATGGGCTCCAAATTTTGCATCCCATGGCTAAAGCTGAAGCATTTGCAACTGTACTTAATAATTAAAAAAATACTTCTGGAGCTGTGATTTAAGTACTTTATATGTATTTTTAATCAATTTTCTTTAAACATACATAGAAAGTAATACATTGTTAAGACGTAAGGTAATGAGATCCTTTTAAAGCCAGTAAATAATGGCAAAATGATTGCTTCTCTCCAAAGCAAGACTAATACATTAGCTTTTAAAGTAATACTGTAGTTTGAACCCCTAGTTGAGAGGCTTAAGACCATTTATATATGTCTTTCGACAAGGGAGGAATCCCAAACTAGAACAAAACCCAATGCAGTGCAACCAGAAGAAAAAAAGGAGGGGTGGCCACAATCTAAGTCCACTTCAGGGGAATTTATTTCCAAGGAATGCAGATTTCTCTTTTTTCTAGGTGGTCTATTTTTACAATGCTAAACTTCTTTTTTCTGTATGTGCTTTACTGTCCAGCATCTTTCAAAGCTCTTTTCAGAACTGAGGCATGGCCCTGTTGACCCTGCAGGGAAAGTGTGCCATATGATAGAGATGCTATGTCCCAGCTTCCCTAAGTCCATGTTTTATTCAAGAATTTTATTAATTCTTTTTAAAGTTTGCAGAGTATCAAGTACAAAAAAACTACACAAAGAAAGTGTGAGAGAGTAGCATAAATCTCAGTAGCCCATCCCTTTTTGCAGTGACTAGCACTTTATATGTAAAAAATCATTTGGGAAGCATTTTAAAGTAGAAAAAAAGGTTTCGTTACTTACAGTTGCTGTCTATAGCTACAGTCAGTCACTGCTCAAAAAGCTCTACCTCCTTAGTAAAGATCATGGACTAACAGAAATGTTTGCCATTGTACTTCAAAACCATGGGCACAGTTGATGGAGAAATCAAAGGATAGAAATCACATGTTATATCCTGGCACCATTATTTTTTAACAATTACACAAATGATCCACGGATGTTCCTATACACTAGGAGTTTTATCTGTGCTGATGACCTTGCCTTGATAGTTTAAGCTCTAGGAGGAAACCTTTGAGTCCATTGACCACCAGCTAACCTCTGGGCACAGTTGCTGGAGAAATCAAAGGATAGAAGTCTCATGTTGTATCCTGGCACCATTATTTTTTTAACATTTACCCACTGATCAACGGATGTTCCTATACACTAGGAATTTTTTCTATGCTGATGACCTTGCCTTGATAGTCTGAGCCACTGGTTCTTAACCTTGAGTTACTCAGGAGTTTTGGACTGCAACTCCCAGAAGCCTTCACCACCAGCTGTCCTGACTGGGGTTTCTGGGAGTTGCAGTTCAAAAGCATCCGAGTAACAAAGGTTAAGAACCACCGGTCTAAGCTCTAGGGGAAAATCTTTGAGTCCATTGACCACCAGCTAACCTCTGCCACAGAAGATCTTTCCTTAGATTACAAAGACAACCAGCTGAAACCAAACCCTTTTAAAACACAGGTGTGTGCCTTCCACTTAAAGAAAAGAGAAGCAGAGAGGAATCTCCAAGTTAGCTGAGAAAGCAGGATTTTGGAACATTGCCCTATCCCAAAGTATTTGGTGTCACTCTGGATCAATCCCTAACCTACAAGAAACATTGTCTAAACACCAAATGGAAAGTTACCACCAGAAATAAGATACTTAGGCAACTGGTTGGCTCAGACAGGGATGCACAGCCATAAACAAGAACAGCGTTGTCTCTTTGCGACTCTATAGCAGAATATGCTAGTGTTGTGTGGTGTAAATGCAAACAAGTGGATATAGCTCTTAACGACTCATGCAAGGTTACTACTGATTGATTGAAATCTACCTCCATTGAAAAAGTCTATTACCGTATTTGGCTGGCACTGCCCCTTCAGAATTATGTCAAAAGGTGCTAGCAAATATTAAATGAAATAAGGTAATAATACAGCACCAAACCCATCCAGTTCATGGACATCAACCTCCTAGGTGATAGCTAAAATTGAAGAAATGTTTTCTGCACACATCTCAAGCCCTAAATATTAAGTCAGAAAAGGCTAAGCTGTACCTGTGGAAAGTGACTTAATAGACTTTTAAATGAAATAGTAAGATCAAAGATTAATCAAATTTTCTGTAACTGTGGAGAAATTCAGTCAATGCAGCATTTATGTGCATGCAATTTATGGCTCTGCATATGTACAAAAAGAAGATCTAGTAAATGGCTGAGATAATGCTATTGAAGTAGCCTACTTGAAATAGAAAGATCAAATATTAATCAAATTTTCTGTAACTGTGGAGAAATTCAGTCAATGCAGCATTTATGTGCATGCAATTTATGGCTCTGCATATGTACAAAAAGAAGATCTAGTAAATGGCTGAGATAAGTACGGCTTTGCATATGTACAAAAGAAGATCTAGTAAATGGCTGAGATAATGCTATTGAAGTAGCCTACTTTTGGTTAAAAAAATAATCTAATTATTTTAACATTTTAATTTGTTTTGATTTTTATCTATATTTCATCTTTGTCCATAATTTTAAATTGTGCAACACTCGAAGATCTAGTAAATGGCTGAGATAATGCTATTGAAGTAGCCTACTTTTGGTTAAAAAAATAATCTAATTATTTTAACATTTTAATTTGTTTTGATATTTGTCCATAATTTTCAATTGTGCAACACTCAGAAAGAAAGAAAGAAAGAAAGAAAGAAAGAAAGAAAGAAAGAAAGAAAGAAAGAGTCTCCACTACATGGAAGAGACATCTTCCATGTCTCCTACGTGACTGGAAGTCAGGAAAGGAGGGAGAGAGTAAAAACAAAGGAAACAAAGCTAACAAACAGGAAGAGGAGTTGTGTGCTTGCCTTAAGTGGGGAAAAAGAACTTCAACAATAGGTTAGACACAGAGAACAATATCCTTTGGTTGTTAAGAGCTCCTCCCACTGACACACAGTACTGGTGCATGCAAGATTGCTATTATCTCAACATGTTTCTTGTATAATGCTAGACAGGGGGATAGTTGTGTTAGCGTGCTGCAACAAAAACAACAAAGAGTCTTTTAGTACCTTAAAAGACTCACATATTTGATCTGTTAGAAGCTTCCATGGACATCTGAGGAAACAGGTTACAGTCCAAGAAAGCTTATGCCAAATACTGTACTGTATAACAAAGAGAGAGGCAGCTGGTAAAGACAAGGAAAAGATAGGAGGAGAAACTAACCCTCCTCCACTTGTAAATTCTATTAAGCACCTCTCGGCCAGGCTTTGCTTTCTGATATCTGCCAGCTGTACTCTTAGGACCAAAAATAAGATCAACGAAGAGAAAAATGACTTAAAAGAAAATGTTAAATAGTCTTCTCCTAACTGCTTCTGTCTCCTCGTCATATATTTGCCCAGACAATTTTTCTATTCTGTTCATGTCTGTCGTAAGGTCTCAGTACCTTAGTGCTATCTTTCCATCTCTCCTGCCCGTGTCGTAAGATCTCAGTACCTTCACTTAGTGCTATCTTTCCATCTCTCCTGCCCTCCTATCTAGGGAAAATGGGGCTACCATCAGGCTACGATCAATCAATCCACTCCTGCCTGCCTCATCAGAGGCAGAGGGTTAGGGCACCACCCAACTTTACTCTGTTCCTAGTGTGTATGAATGCTTGCCTCCCTTCCTCTGTGTTTTTGTGCTTGAGAGGGATAGCGGGTGCATATGAATAGTCACAGTTGCCCTCAGCTGTGTCACACCTAGCTCTGCCAGTTTGTGTTGAGCCTTCCACTCCAACAACTAAAACTGGCACCATTGCTTCCCTTTTATACATACGCCCAGTCCCTTTGAGGCTTATGGTGGAAAATCAAATGTGTTTTGTCTTTCCGTTAAGGCAAACACTTCGGGTTCTCAATGTATTCCCTGTTGCTCTTTGGGAATCAGCATTTCTGTTGTAATTATGTTTCCATGGGAACCCAAAATTTCAATATTCTTCAGTCCTGGTTTGCACAGGAGGTCAAATTAAACATTTAAGTAAGCCCACACTCTGAAAAGAGCAGTGATTTTAGCTGGACCATATGGTGGGGCCGTAGCAATGTTTATCCTCTGCTTTCTGGACATGCAGAAAAAAGTTTTGTTGTAAAATCCACATGTCGCACACACCAATATTCATTATTTCCTAGACATTCCAGTTGCTACAGAAACCAACCCTGATTATGAGTTATCAGTGTTTCTGTTTTTTTTTTTTTTTTTTGTGGGAACTATATCCCTGCCTCCTCAGTTAAAGCACAGATTAAATATTGATCTTAATGAGTATAAGGAGCCAAATATGAATGAAAGATTCTTAATGAGAGGTGAGGAAAAGGTAGAACTGGACTGGATGATAGATCTGAAGCTGCTGTAAATCTGTCACTAATCTACGATAGATCAGCAAGGATTTCTGAGGCTGTGATGACACAGGGAAATAAATGACAATTTGGCCTACTTGTGGAGCAGTCCATTGTGATCTATTTCTTGGTGATCACATGATGCACAGGAAAATGCATTCCAACTGGACTCCAATCCATACCCAATCTGGACTCCTTTGGATTCTACTTTTTGGAGCTGGGCTAGAGTGATTCTCTGGCAGATGGAAGGGTCACTTTAGGGAAAGCCACTCCTGTTAAAACAACCCTTTCTGGTGCAATCAGCATGTGCCTTTGTAGCTGCCTGATTGCAGCCTGACTCCCAAGGTCAGTATCCCATTCCGTATTTACTGACACACTAAACATCAACAGTGGAAGCTGCCACAGTGATGTGATCAGGTGCTAACTGCATATATGGTCACATATGAGCAGCATCTCATCATAAATAACAAATATTATCGTGACACCTTCTGCAACTGAAGTGCAGCTTGCGAGTAAATACTAAGGAGGATACTGGCCCAACTGTTTAACAACAAAAGGTGGCTGGTTCTACAAGCACCGCCCAAAGTAGTTTGCTGCCTGAGGCAAAGAGCAAGACTGCACCATTCTGTGTTTCAAATGCTGATTTGCATGATAGTTGGATCTTATTTTAAAAGCAGAAATAAGATAGGGTTTTACACTATACCTGAAGCCAGTGAGCTAATTTAGGCATTATAAGAATGGCTGTGTGGCACATATATAGTATATCACATAAGTGAGTACACCCCCTCACATTTCATAAATATATTAGTATATCTTTTCATGTGACAACACTGAAGAAATGATGCTTGGCTACAATGTAAAGCAGTGAGTATACAGCTTGCATAATAGCATAAATGTGCTGTCCCCTCAAAATAACGCAGCACACAGCCATTAATATCTAAAACACTGGCAACAAAATTGAGCACAACGCTAATTGACAATGTCCAAATTGGGCCCAAGTAGCTGTTCTCCCTCCCTGGTGTCATGAGACCCATTAATGTCACAAGTCTCAGGTGTGAAGGGGAAGCAGGTGTTATCGCTCTCACAGACTGGTCACTGGAAGTTCCACATGGCACCTCATGATAATGAAGTACCTGAGGATCTGAAAACACAAATTGTTGCTCTACATAAAGATGGCCTAGGACTAGGCTATAAGATGATGGGCAAAATCCTGAAACTGAGCTGCAGCACAGTGGCCAAGACCATACAGCGGTTTGACAGGACAGGTTCCACTCAGAACTGGCCTCGCCATGGTCAACCAAAGAAGTTCAGTGCCCGTGCTCAGCATCATATCCAGAGGTTGGCTTTGGGTAATAGACGTATGAGTGCTGCCAGCATTGCTGCAGAGATTGAAGGGGTGGGGGTGTAAGCCTGTCAGTGCTCAGACCATACGCCGCACACTGCATCAAATTGGTCTCCAGGGCTGTTGTCCCAGAAGGAAGCCTCTTCTAAAGATGATGGACAAGAAAGCCCGCATACAGTTTGCTGCAGACAAGCAGACTAAGGACATGGATTTCTGGAACCATGT